TCAAGCTAGAGAATATCAGAGACACAGGTGTGGATGCACAGAGAAAAAGCCAAGGATGGAACCTCACAGGAAATCATTGCTGAAGAGTTGAGTGGAGGAAAGGCAATTACAGAGATTACTTAAGGCCTAAGAAATACAATTAGGTGAGTTGGGTTTTAAAAGTCAGGGGATCAGTTTCAAAAAGGGAAAGGACACCTGGTCAGCGATGAACCCCTGAGGTCTTGAGCAGAGCTGAGTTTGGGGATGGGAGGAAAACAGCCAGCAGAGATGAGAGTGAGGGGTCAATGCAAGTAGTGTAGACTCTTGGCTGTGGAAGGAAGGAGCAAGAGAAGACGATTTGAGAGGAGGTGTACCCAGGTTGAGAAATGCTCATCACTTTGATGACTGAGGGAAGAGCTAAATAATACAAAAAAAGAGAGAGGACACCTAGTGAAGGAGACACCTAGAAGATGGAATCTGGAAGGGAGGAAGAATAAGGAGTAGGAGCAGAATAAGACATTTTAAAGAATGGCAAATTGCTTATGAGATGTGCCAGGTGCCATCTCTGAGCACACAGAACTGGGGTGCTCTGAGAACTGAGAACTCCCAGGGGCTGAGAAAGGACAGGGCAGAGGAGATCCTGCAGGGGGAAGGCTAGACAGCCCTAATCCTTGCTTCAGCCACTGACCAGCCCTGCGAGAGGCCAGGGCTCATACAGGCAGGGGGAGAAGATTGGGAACAGGTAGGCCTCCTGGAGGCAGAACTTGATGGTGCAGGTGGGAGTTAGGGTTGGGGTGCATGGAGGGCCATCAGGCTGGGAGTTGAGAGGTTTTAGCCTGGCTCTGCTCCCAATTGACCCCCTCCCAAGGGAAGCAGGTCTCTTCCTATCTCCTTTGTTTCCCCAGCTGTAAAATGACAGGCTTCATCATGGTGCTCATAGGGGACCTTGCAGTTAGGACCCTGGCATAGGGTCTCTTAGTTTCCATCTTTTGCAGATCACGGACCCCTTTAGGAAACTGAGAACATCAGACTCTCACACACACAACACAAATTTCTGCATAACAATTCCTGTGTTTGTGGATTCCCTAAGATCCTCTGTAGACCCAGGAGTCTGAGGTTCTAATCATACTCATAAATATAAAGCAATCACACCCAACCGCCCTACCAGCTAGAAAACTGTAATAAAGGAAAATGGAACGCTGGTTCTTTCAGCAGCGGCCACGGCCCCCACACAGACCAGCTGCTAATGAGTTTTTTTCCCATTTGCTGATGGAGGACACTTGTAATAAAGTTTAATGTGGAAGAACAAGGTGCATTTAACCAAAGCTGTAAACATCTCTAATTCTATTTAAAACTATAGGGTGCAGTACATTAACATTTAACAATCAGACATTAAATTGATGTGAAGCTAAACTGAGCTGTGTTTATTAGAATGCAGGCACCAAGTCATCTTTTATCAATGACAACAGAAGGAGCAGAAAACTACCCTGTCCACACTCACACCCCACCCAATGCATTAATTAAGAGTCTTCTCCAAATCACCACTCTATGGAAAGACACTGATTGCTTTAGAGAAAATACACTGAGCAGGGCAGTTGTGGCTCAGTGCCAAAGTCTTTTAGCCTTGCTCACTTTGAAAATTGTTTTCTCCGGCATAAAAAAAACATTTTTTTAAAATGTGAAATGTATAGGTAATTCAGAATAAGCCAAGGCTTAAACTCTATTCTACTTGACCTCTGCAGAGTTCACGCTGCTAAGACCACCTTCCTCTTCAGAAAAACTCCCAGATGCAGCTTTCTCCTGGCCACTCCTATGACTCTGATGGCTTGCTCTTCTTTGGTCTTCTTCAGGCTCCTTGCCTGCTTCTGCACCTGCCAGCAAGGCACTCCCCACCACTCAGTCCTGAGTAATTTCCCTCCCATTGGGTCACCTTTCCCTGGGGGTTTTACTGTCAGGGCTTCTACTGTGACCTACACTCAGAGAATACCCCCATATTGCAGGGGGGTCCAGATCCACATTTCCTAACAGTTCACATCTTTGTCTGGGCACCAGAGGCATGGGCAGTCCCTTGGTAGAAATACAGACTACCAGGCCCCATCCAGACTTCCTGAACCATAATCCACAGTTAAACAAGATCAGGTGATTCTTGCATACACTAAAATTTAGGGAACACTAGTCTCTCCTAGCCATCTGCACATCCCATTGCAGCTTAAGCTTGATATGTCCATGTCGAAGGCCAAAATTCACCATCAAATCTGAGCATATTTGCTCACTGCATGCTAAGCAATAGACTCTTGTTTTAACTTCATGTAAAGTACAAGCAATTGTGCATGTTGAAAACTGCTTGTATATGGTTGTTCCTACAAATGCCTTGTAGTAAAAACAAATAAAAAATCTTTTCCTAATTTCTATTTGAATTATGTTACTACTTATTTATCCTTAGAAATGTCAATACATATTTACTAGTGTATTTGGTAGAGAATAAATGAGTAGACTCATTTTTTAAGTCTACTATGATAATAACGTGAAGATTTATCACTCCAAAGAAGCACCAGGTACAAATCATCCATTGCTTCCAGTTCTGAGCAGAGATTACTTGGTTTGCTTCTGTAGATAATAGTAGGACAAGCTCTACTTAGATGCTGTCAATGGCTTCCACATTTCCTGTGGAAAGCATTTTCAGTAGGAAGAGATGGTCTTACAGCTTCATTTTATATTCTATGGCAGCAGGTCCCCCACTTGCACACCTTAGTATACAATTGTGCACCTCTGACCTCAGTTTTGAAGAAAGAACTGGAACTTAATAACAACAATGCCTTAGACCAACTTACAGCTGTCAGCTCTTAAGAGCTTGTGTTTTCTTAGTGGAATGTATTCATTTCCATGTATCATGGCCCTAAGTTCCCAGTGAATTTAAGTGGGCGGGTTTGGGGGTGATCGAAGTTCACGTCAGTTCTGCAGAGGCCTAGGGGCCTCCTACCCCAGTGCCTTCTCCCACTATCTCCTCTTCATATGCCCCACTCTCCACTCCCACCTGGAACCCCCAGGGCTCTACATAGCTCATATGCCTTTGTGCAAATCAGGAAATCACCTGCCCCCTTCTTCAAAACACCATATAACCATGTTCTGATGGATAGATCATTGTCATGATAAAATATGATTTGATGCCTATGATAATTATGATGTGAATGGTGTGCTAACCAGATAGCCTCCTCTCTAAAGAGATGCTTGAGGAAATTCCAGTGAGTTCTTCCAAATGATCTTTCTTCCTCAAAAGCTATGTGGTGTATTCACTACCTTTGAAATCTGGCAGAGAAAGAGAGAATGAGATGTACGTGTACGCCAGAGAGAACGACTTCCTCTCTGTAATGTCAGGCTGTTTTTGCTTCTGGAAAATCATTACTTGCTCTCAATTTGGACTCTTTCCAATAAACCACGAGAGGCACTCACAAGCTATCATGGGTCTTTGTGAGTGTTACTATAGAGCTAAGTTCATGGACAAATATTTCCATTTTAAAGTTACTGCAATAAGACTTTAAACAGTAAAGAAATTTTCATTTAGAAAATGCAAACTGGCTTTAGCATGAATGTTAACACAGTGTATTTGTATAGCAATTTACGGTGCCCAGAATCTTGCAGTATTCATTAACCCATTTTAAGAGGTTAAGTCACTTCTATATAAAGATGATTCTGAGATAAGAGACTCAACCAAGTTTAATTCACATGGTTATACAGAGGGGCACACCTCACACTCAAGGTTATGTTTAAAATATATAATTTACCATATATACATGGTCCATTACAAAACCAAACAATTTTTATAGTGTGCAGTAAGTAACACTCACACAGAAAGAAGTGTTTTGAGCAACACAGTTGACAGGATGGCCTTCTTCAAGAATGGATACATCTTCAGTGAGGTTCTGGATATTGTCTAAGTCCACAAAGCCACTTCCACACATATGTATATGCTGCATATCCCCACACGATCCCCACCCGATCCCCACCCGATCCCCACCCAAACCTACTAGAATTCACATGCAAAGTTGGACAAAGCACTTTGTAACAGTAGGGTCTTTAGGACAGACTTTTCCAGCTCAGTTTGTACGTCCTACTCTCCTACCCAGGGGAACCAGGCAAAAGACTTTGCTCTCACACAAGTGGGCATTCAATCGGAGTTGGTCACTTTGGCACACTTCCAGGAGGCCCATTTCCTCCGGTGTGTCATTAACAGCAAACTCCTCTGCTCCTTTGGAAAACGGTGAGTAAGAACTTCTTGGAGAATATAAGTTTCTATACCAGTAGAGGTCCACACTGACAAAGGGATGGGAGCCCTTTAGCATAGTGTTCTACTTGTCCTGTGGCCTTGGGTGATCACAGGTGGAGAAACAAGCATCTGGGTTTTCAGAGACATTCCTGTCCACTTAGACCTCAGACTTCTCCATAATGTGCCTCTCTGCCCTTAAATTGCTAGGGTCAGTGCATCTATTTAAAACAAGAGATGTTATCTTGAGTACTGCTTGAGATGGCAGTTTGCTCTGCTCTTGGTGCCCTAACAATGTTATCTGATCCTTGAAAACCAATTAGTACATATTTACCATCTCACGCTTTGGGCTATAATGGCATTTCCTCTAGCTATCTACTATGAGCTTGATATCATGGATACAGGAAGAGTAGAAGATTAGAAGATTAAAATTAAGATTTAAAAGAAAATCAAAACCCAGAGAAAGAAGACAAAAACATGAAGGGGATTGGCTCAGCAGAGAATCTCCTTAGATGCTTTCAGAATCAGCGTCCTTACCCCTCAGGGCTCAGACCCAAAACATCTTGTTCCAGAAGATTTGTTCAAGGGCTGCATCCCCTACTATTTTTCAAAGAGCCTTGTACCTCTCTGAAGGCACCTGAAATGCCATAAGAAAGGGGCTCTGCACCACACAGAAGGCACATGTGAAAATATAAAAATAAGTTTTCATAAATAACTGAGGTGGCATGTATTAAATAGGATCATGGAAGATGACATGGAATTACAGCTTGTTCTCTTCAAAGAGGATCTGGGCGTAGACAGTGCTGGTGGGGATGCCTTTGGCAGCCTGGTGGGGTTTGATCAGCTCCAGCTCAGCATAGGTCAAGTTTTCCTCAGCAATCTTTGGCTGTAAGATAAAACACAGCACAATTCTAGCTGACCACACGGAGTTCTACATCATACGTTCATTCTTCAAGTGTGCATTTTCATAGCATTTTGCGAATTCAAAGGGGAGCAAACGGACAAAAAATTTACAAAGATATATAAAACCTAAATAACATAATAATATAGATTTCAAGGTCTTATAAAGAACACTATGCCCTGCAAAGAGACACTATGATTTATTTTCATAGATTTCAAGGTCTTATAAAGAACACTATGCCCTGCAAAGAGACACTATGATTTATTTTCAAGTCAATATAGAACACTAACAAAAAGTGATTAAACATTAGACTACAAAGTAAATTTTAATTCCGCAAAGTAAAAATAATGTAACTAACAGTCTTTGATCAGAAGGAAAAAAACGGAGACAGAAACAAAAATCCTAGAAATTAATAACAAAACTAGAATGCTATCATCTTAAATAAAATTTTCTTAAATGACTTAACCTGTATAAAACTAAAATTTCAGAATATCTTTAAAATAATGATAAATAAAATATTGCCAGAACCTAAAAAATGTAGTATTCAGAGAAAAATCATAGATGTAAATATTTATATCCAACTGAAGAAGTTAGAAAAAGAACAAAATAATTGAAAAAAAAAATAACAGAAGGAAGGACCAATAAAATTAAAATCAGACTGTATGAATCAGAACACAAACAACAACAACAAAAAAACAGTAGAAATAAAAATATGCAAAGTTTATGCTTGAAAAACACCAATAAAATAAACTGAAAAATGGATTAATTGAGATTAAAAGGAAAAAAACAAAAACAAAATTAAGTAAAATGGGAAATAAGAAAAGAAATATAACGTAAATAAAGAAAATATTTTAAATTTAGAAAATTACTTTGCTAAACTTATTGTAAAAATTTTTGAAATACAGGATAAATGGGTAATACTCCAGAAAAATATAAATTATAAACAATAATTTCAAAAAATACCAATATACTAATCATCATTAAAAAAGTAGAAAAGAAAGAAAGTGAAAGAAGGAAAGGGAAAAGGAAAGAGGGATGGACGAGGAGGAAGGGAAGGAAAAAGGGAGGGGAGATGTTGTCAAAAAGCTCTTGTTCAAAAATACTGGGCCCAGGCAGTTTTATGGGAGAATTTCTTAAAAAAAAAAAAATTCCTTTAAGAAACAGATAATCTGAATGTAATTAAACTGATCTAGTGCATTGAAAGAAAAATTTCACATATATTAAAACAATCTCATTTATTAATATAAATTTCAAATCAAATTTACTCAGAGAATGAAGAAACACATTAAAAGTTAAGATAATCATTTTAAGTTGATTTTATTTCAAGAATGCAAGGATACTTCAATATTAGAAAAATCCACTAACATAGTTCATAATATAATAGAGGAAAAAAACTATATTGTTATTTTCATAGATATTGGAAAGTCATCTAATAAAATTTAAAAACATTTTTGTTAAAAAATTTTGAATAAAGTAGTCATAGGTTTATATTTTCTTACTATGGTTAAGGAACATTATTGAAATAAATATTTAGTGATTCGATTATGGTGGTATTAAAAATATAAAGCTACAATCATTAGAACACTGTAGTACTGGCAAACGAAGATATGTATCAGTGGGATCGATGAGACCCTCCTGAAATGAACACAAATATTGTTGTTCAATAAATGGTGGTGGGATGTTTGGGTAGCCATGTGAAAAAAATTATATTTCTATATCATTCTTTACACCAGAGAAGTTCCAAATGAATTAAACATTTTAATATGGAAAATGAACTCATAAAAGTGCTAGAATAACATGTGGGAAATTAAAGAATATATAATCTCAGCATTCAGAATACATTTTAAAGTATGATGCAAAATCCAGAAGCAACAGAAAAAAGATATGGACATTTTCATGCTATATATGGCAAAATGTTCTCTAAATAAAGTCAAAGGACAATTGAAAAAATGAAGAAATATTTGTAAATCATATCAAAGGGTCTTACAATTCAATAAAGATAATGACCAACAATGCATCAGAAAAGTAAGCAAAGAGCAACAGGCAAGACCAGTGAGTTCACAGGAGAAATATAAATGGCTCTGACACATGTAAAATGAGAGTCGACCTCCCTCATAATAGCAGAATTGTGATTTAAAATTACACTTAGACATCACTTTCTGTCTTTTGGGAGAATAAACTGATGGTTGCCAGTAGGGAAGGGGTTGGAGGGATAGGTGAAACAGGTAAAGGGGCATAAGAGGTACAAACTTCTAGTTATAAAATAAGTAAGTCATGGTGATGTAATGCACAGCATAAGGAACATAGTCAATAATATCGTAATAAATTTGTACAGTAACAGATGGTTACTAGACTTATTATGGTGATCACATTGTGAGATATATGTAAAAATCACTATGTTGTACACCTGAAACTTATATAACATGTATAACAACTATACTTCAATAAATTTTATAAAATATTGCCAAACGAAATAGAAGCAAACAGGTCTTCTTGTATTGTTGGTGAAAGTGTTCATTGATATAAACAAAAACCTGGAAACTCTTAAATGAACATCAATAGTAGACTGGTGCATTCATACAGTGCACTAGTATGTGCTGCAGTCTTTAAAAGGAATGGTAGAGCTGTATGCATACTGTGTGTTTTACTATCATTTGTGAAAATATGTGCACATGTGTGTAAATATATGTGTATGTATTTATTTCCTCAGAAAACCATTGGAAGCTGCTTGGAAAATCAAGACCCTGGTATCCATAGTTCCCTCTGGAGAAGTAAACTGGATGACCAAGAGGGAGGCCTCTTGCTTTGCTGCACACATTTGTTGATATCTTTTGAATTTTATGGTAGGAACACATATTTAAGCAACACATTAAATAATTTTAATGCATAATTAGAAAAAGTCAGTTACTAATTTATAGTCATAAAAGATGCATGACTCATTTAAGCAGCCCTGCTTTTTTTGTTTTTTGATTTTTGGCTTTGGCTGTGCTATAGTTTTGTTTCGATTTTTGCTGTTTTGTGCCTATGCCTTGGTTATGAGACCAAAATTCAAGACAAAAAAACCATTTGCATTCAATTTAAGTTTCTTAAAACAGAATGCCAAGAGCCAAAAGCCAAAAGCCAAAAGCCCCTTTTCTTTTGCAGTAAAGCATCTTAATAGGAACTCGGAGCCAGAGACAAAGAGAACTTGACAAGAACTCCTTCAAGCCAGTGTATACTGGTCAGGGCCAGTTGACAGATGACCTCCACAAATCGTCTGGACACTTTTAAATTTCAAAGTTAAGAACATTTATGGGCATGAGAGCCTTTTTTTTTTTTGTCTTTTGACACCAAAATCTACATTTAGATGTCCATATTTTGCAAGCCAACAAAAATCCCGTTTACATCTTGCCTTCAGTTTAATTACATTTCATATTATAATGATTCCATTTAGAAATGCCATGTGTCCTCAAATAAGCATGAAAACCCAACTCATGTAAATTTTAGAACCAAGATTTATGAAATCATATTTTGTCCAGGTGTTTTATTACATTACCTTGAAATTGCATTGTTTTCTAGTGTAGATTATATGTTTATTCTTAAGTTATTCTATTACATTTGGATATGAAAAACAACACTGGCTTTCTCAATACAGGTCACCAGGCTGGCTTGGCTAGTGTGTTGTTTTCATACATTTTTATGATGTTCCTATAGTAAACATAATTTAATAAAGCCAAAGCACACTAAATAAATAATTGCATCTAGAAAAGCAATAAAAACAAATAAAATTAGTACTTTTGTAAGTGGAAAGGTACTTCAATTACTGCTACAAGCACCAACGCCCCCTCCCCCCCATAAAATGTGTAGAATCATTTCCCTTATGCATATTTCTGGGATATAATAATTTGATTGAAGATATGAGGCAGCACACAGGAGGCTCTGAATTGTAAGTGTATACAGTTTCCAACAGAAGATGCATAATAGCCATCCTTGGCACCTTTAAAGAACCTATTGATTTTCTGGCATGCAGACTTGGCTGTCACCATCAACCATGTGCTTAATTACATTTTCCAGTTTGTTTAACTGGAAATAAATTCCTAAAGGCCAGTGAAAGGGGGCAAGTGTAGACTCCTTACCAGTTTCCACCATGCTACTTTTCTTTGCACCAATGTTTCAGTGAAGGGTTTAGGTGCATTGGGAAATAGCTTAGAGAAAAGTACTGGTATATCAGTAGGACTAGGTAAGACTCTAGAACTGGAAGTAAGGAGCAGAATGTAAAGGTTAAAGTGATTACAATGGGGCAGAACCTGCTGCAGGACCCCACCTGTATTTTTGGTGATGTCTGAAACCTTGACAGTTCAAACCCATCCTGGGTTTAAGCTAAGGAATCATTCCTAGCGCCTATGGCATTTCAAGGACTGGAGCACAGCAAGTGGGTCTCTGAATCAAGAAGCTTTCTGTTAGTTCCCTGCCATCTGCTGGCCCTCAAAATGACCCTTGTCAGGCTCCTATCCTGCTTTTGGGGGTGAAGGAAGTTCAGAAGTGTATGGGGCATTAGCACTCAAGACTACAAACTTAATATTCTTGAACTGGCTGTTCACAAACACTACTGTAACAGCTTTAGGTTACACTGAAACACAAAGAAAATTGCTGAAAGTAGGATTTTCAGGCCTCAGACATGAGTTTGACACTTCTATCTGACATTGCTGTATTAACTGGAAGTCAGGAGAGGAAAGGAACAGACTGCAGAAGTGGACCAACTGCTGGAGATCCTGGTAGGGTCCTTTAGAAAAAGCCTAGAACTTTCTAAACATGTGAGAAGCAACTGTGTCATTCCTCTTTTCCAGGACTGTTTGGTTTTACTTTCTTTTCTCTCTTACCAGCCTGCAGAGACTCCTGGTCACTCTCTTTCTACTCCTCCAATAAAGGCCTGCTATTTGTGTTCAACTGCTTGATATTCTGTATGTTCTAAACCCTATTGTTTTATTTATCTTTAATCCCACTTC